CCTTCTTCTTTACCGATTTGTATTGCTTTTATTTCTTTTTCTTCTCTGATTGCTGTGGCTAAGACTTCCAAAAGTATGTTGAATAATAGTGGTGAGAGTGGACAACCTTGTCTTGTTCCTGATCTTAGAGGAAATGGTTTCAGCTTTTCACCATTGAGAATGATGTTGGCTGTGGGTTTGTTGTATACGGCCTTTATTATGTTGAGGTAAGTTCCCTCTATGCCTACTTTCTGGAGGGATCTTATCATAAATGGGTGTTGAATTTTGTCGAAAGATTTTTCTGCATCTATTGAGATGATCATATGGTTTTCCTCCTTCAGTTTGTTAATATGGTGTATAACTGACTGATTTGCATATATTGAAGAATCCTTGCATTCCTGGGATAAACCCCACTTGATCATGGCGTATAGATATAATATTTCTGTATAAGATATAAGGGTTTGATCATTTTTTTAAATAAATAAATTTATTCATTTATTTTTATTTTTGGCTGCATTGAGTCTTTGTTGCTGTGTGCTGGCTTTCTCTAGTTGCGGCGAGTGGGGGCTGCTCTTCGTTGCAGTACGCGGGCTGCTCTTCATTGCGGTGGGCAGGCTTCTCATCATGCTGGCTTCTCTTGTTGTGGAGCACGAGCTCTACACATGCAGTCTTCCATAGTTGTGTCATGAGGGCTCAGTAGCTGTGGCTCATGGGCTCTAGAGTGTAGGCTCAGTAGTTGTGGCGCACAGGCTTAGTTGCTCTGCCGCATGTTGGATCTTCCCGGACTAGGGTTCGAACCCATGTCTCCTGCCTTGGCAGGCAGATTCTTACCCACTGCGCCACCAGGGAAGTCCCTGATAATTTTTTAAAGTAAGTCCAAATAGACAAAGTGATATCAATGTCTGCTACCTAAATAGTATGGTGCTAATTTAGATACCTATATTGCTTGAGATCATCTTCCAGTCAGAATAAAGGACACTTTATAGAACCTGCGCCACTAATAATGCTAGAAATGTTTTCCACAGCTTAATATCTAATACTTTTAAAAAAATATTCTTTCTAGTGTTTTATTTAGACATTTTTAAGTAATATGGCTATTTTGTTCCGTATTATTCTATGATTTAGCATGCCTAAGCTAAACCCTCTTTGAAATACTGATGTTTCCTCCATTTACCTTAAATATTAGCATTGGTTTCTGACATTTTATAAATGGTGTGGATTTTGGTGGGCCTTGTAGAATTTCTATTAGCACTTATTAATCTTTAGCCCATACCTGGCAATCTATTCCGGCATTTATTTCTTCATGAATTTATAGAGGAACATGTGTAGACCAATGTGACCTTACTTTAAAAGAATCCTGAACATCAGTTAATGATAAAAATTGGACAGTTTACTCATGAATGAAGCTGGTTAACCTTGTAGCCTAGTTGTTTATTTAAGAGACGTAGCAAAAGATTGTCAGAGAACTCATTAATTGTAAAAAGCTCATTCAGTAATGAAAAAGAAAAAAAACAGTTAAATTCAAGCAGGAGTAGTCAGATATAAAGTTCATTGTTGGTTACATGATGTTCAGCTCCACATATCTTAGGTATTTTCAATACAAGTGATTATTTGCCATGGGAATAAATAGCAGTAGTATGATAAAACAGCAGCAGTATATATTTTATATATTAAAGTAAAAATTTCAAGTAACTTACTTTAGGAAATAATCAATAAAAACTTTTATTATATTCTGTTATTATAAACACAACACAAAAACTACATAGTTTTCATACAGCATGAAATTCATTTAAAAGATCCCACTCTTAGTGAAGGGATTCACTTTAATAATGTATTCACATTTTGAAATAGATTATGTCATCCATCCAAAGATTTGATGTTATAAACAACCAAACACTAATTAGAGTCCTAGGAAAATAAGTGAAGCCCTGGTACATTGTTGACCTAATTATTCAGAATCATATTATCTAAATGGAAGTTTATGGATGGAAAGAGAGGTGCTGGAATGGAGACAGAGGGCTGAGTGTGCATTAGTTTGGGTGTTGCTCCATGGCCAAATCCCAGTGGTGTCTTGTGAAGACTTTCTTGTTTTAAGGTTTGTGTGTTTTTTTTAATTTCTTTAATATTTTTAAGAGAAATGTAGAATTAAGTCTTGGGTTTGGACATTTTTACTGAAGTACTTATCTCCATATGGTGATAGCTAAGACAACAATCCCTTGAAAAAATGTTAATAAAGTAAAAAACAAAAAAAAAGCAGCTCTTTCAGCCAACGACCCTCAAATGCTTACCCTGTCCATCAGGGAGCTTGCTCCCCAGCTAGAGGAACAGTCAGACCACCAGAATACTGTCCCTCAGCCAGTGTATAGGGCTTCCTAATGCAGGAAGAGGATCAGATTAAATGAATCAAAGCACCTCTGTAACTCAGAGTCTGTGAGCCTAGAACCTTAAAGGAGCTAATATAAATCCCCGATGCCTAAAATCTTTATATTCTTACATATATGATCACTTTGACCATGTATCAAGTGAACTTGTTCGAACTTGCAGGTGTAAGAAATGACACATTATTATTATTATTAATCAAATTAATTCAAACTCTAGGCTCCCACCCTAAGCCAAGAGGTGAGAAATTTGATTTCAGTCATTTTCAGTGTACTCCTTTCTAGGGTTATACTGGAATCCAAAGGCATCTCATGAGCCTTGAAATTAGGGAATAACCTCCTTTCCTAGCCTGCGACGGGTGCTGACATCCTTGCAGTCTGATCGCCCTATCTGAAGTCGGGTGGCTCCATTTCCTTCCATTGGTCACGGTCAAGGGAGGCAAGAACTGCCCCTCTGGACGTTCAGCCTCCTCGACAGCCACGTACCATCCTATCAGAAGTCCTCTCGGGGCCCTGCTCTCAGTGACAGGCACGTCCTTGTCATTCATATAACCTGCCTTTACTGGGCCCCTCTTCAGTCTTGGGGAGGCCAGTCTTCTCCCTCTCCAGCCAGTGGACGAATAGACATAAATTCGTCTGCTCTACCCTCCCCAACTTCAACCCCCAGCCCTTCATACCAGAGAGATTCCTTTCCATCTTTAAGACTCCTCTAGGAGTCCTCAAAAACATACAACCAAAAAAGCTTTCCTCCCTGAAGGATAGGGGGGTTTGAGAAATAGCTGATGTAGTGATGGGTGACACAGTAGGAAGGAGAACTTTTAGAAATTCGACGTGGAATGGAGATAGGGAAAGGAAATGCTTTCTTCCTCTCTCTGGTTGGTCCACAGTAGCAAATAAACCAAAAACACTGAGCAGTATTTTTCTTCGTAATGCCCTGTTACTCTCTGCATATAATCACCATGGCCAGGTGACGGGCTCATTCATTATTTCCGGAGTCCTGCAACAAGCAAAGCACTGTGCTGGTCTTTGGTGGTGCAGCGTGGAACAAGGTATACACAGTATTTTGTCCTCATAGAGATTATAGTGTAGAGAGTATGTCGGGAAGTAAAGAAGGAGAGAAAAATCATTGCACATCGTGATAAGTGCTGTGGCAGGCTAGCACAGGTGGGAGAGACTCACGTGGACTGTATTCCAAGACCTCTGAGGAGGTGTGTTGAAGCAGGGGCATGAAGGCTGAGAAGGAGTTAGCCGTGTAGGCACTAGGGGGTAACTTTGCAGGCAGTGTGGTTGGCAGGAACAGCAGCTCCAGAAGAGGTCAAGAGCTTGGCGAGTTTGCATAATGGAAAGTGAATCTGTGTAGTTTGAGCTTCATGAGGAACAGGAGGAGAGACAGACCATGAGGAGGCCTGGAAGGTAGGCTGGAGCCATAAGGACGCTGGAGACCGTGGAGAGGCGTTTGAATATCCTTCAAGCCCCTGGAGGGTTTTAAGTAAGAGAATGACTGAACTTGATTTAAATTTTAAAGCTCACTCTGACTGCTGTGTGGAGAAGGGGTCAGAGGGGAGAGAAACGCTAGGACGTATACATGTCCACACATCTACCATGTAGGGAGATCTCAGGAAGCCCAAGGTGGCTGAGATGGGATGGTCCCAGTGGGAAGAGAAGGGAAGGAGCTGGTTCAGGGTTGATGGGAAAACATCACCTCTGCATCACTGTACTGACCTGTCTGTCCCTCAAATGCTGCTTGGTGCCAGCAATGGGCTGGACAGTGTTGTTTTTGCCTACTGGGGTTAGAGTTAAGAGGAAATTGACATGTTGCCAACCCTTTCAGGCTGAATCCACTTTCTGATATCTATGGGGTTCTTTTGGGAAAAAAGAAAATAATTGTTATCTTCCCTATTAAATCAAATATCTATTTAAAGTCTATTATATTGAAAGTTATTGTGTGAGGCCTTTCAGGATACAGTAAGAAATCATAATTTTATTCTTTAACCAAATTCTTCTTAAAATAACTGCAATTCCAAATATGAATTATTCACTTTTCTTACAAACACATATAGAGTGTTTATAAATTGACTCCCCATACCAAGCCTAAGATGCAGGTAATATTATTATATGCATTTTACTGAAAAGGAAACTGAGGCACAGAGAAGCTAAATAAATACAACTCATAACCAGGATTCAAACCATGCCATCTGTCTTCAAAATCTGCTTTTATTTGCTACCTCTCCATTTAAATATTCTGTTAATGAAAAGGAATGGGCTCATTCTACCAGTTGTTTTTTTGTTTGTTTTCTTTTTTTTTTTTTTTGCGTGCCTCTCACTGTTGTGGCCTCTCCCGTTGCGGAGCACAGGCTCCGGACGCGCAGGCTCAGCGGCCATGGCTCACGGGCCCAGCCGCCCCGCGGCACGTGGGATCTTCCGGGACCGGGGCACGAACCCGCGTCCCCTGCATCGGCAGGCGGACTCTCAACCGCTGCGCCACTGGGGAAGCCCCTGTTTGTTTTCTTTTTAAATTTCCTTTTAAACTGAAAGTTCCAAACCCACACAGCTGGCCTACATAAAAAAAAAAATTCTGTAGAGCTCCTGCATGGTATGGACATGAGGATCAAACGCTGATGGTGACTTTTGTTTGTTTCACAGGATTATTGGGACTTTGCAGAACTCTCGTGAGTTTTCAGAAGCCTTTCATTGCCGCAAGAGCTCATACATGAACCCAGAAAAGAAATGCAGGGTTTGGTAATCTTCAGAAGCAGTGGTGCAATCCTTGGCTAGACTTGCCCACTTCACAGAAATGGGGAACTCTATCTGAGAGAAAAAGGACCAGAGAGGTCACTGATTACGTGGAGGTAGTTCACGGGGATGAGAGCAATAAAAATGAAGCTAGGTTACTCTGGAAAAATGTGGAGGGAGGAGAGGTCTAATGTCTATCAAATCAATCACTTCTCACTGTGTAAATAATGCTTAATCTCTAAAGAGAATATTGCCATCCATTGCCGTTTCTCATATGATCTGCCAGTTTGATGTTTTCTGTTGATGTAGACCGGCATTTCTAATCAAAGGGAGAAAGAAGAGGTGGAAGAATTCAGTTGGCACCAAAAGCACAGCAGTGACGTGAGAGTTAAAAACATGTTGCCAATGTACTTATTTTTACTTTTATTTGCAAAATTTATGCTCCTTCAAAACTCTTCCAAAGAATTCTTATACATATTGGGGCCTTGGGACTTAAAGTAGTTTTAATCTAATTTTGCCAATCATCAGTTACTCATTCTGAGAGCATTGTATTTTAAGCACTCTAGGGCAAAAATGAGTGTCTAAAACTGTTTTTTGTTGTACCTGCTTTGACTGATAATGAGATTCTTGAGGCTTCCTGCAATTTTCTAAGCAATGTATTGTTCTCTCTCTCTCAAAACTTGGTCTTTTTAAGAGATTTGTAGTAATGTGTAAATAATAATTTTTATATTTAATTATTAACTACACTTATGACTAAGTAATTGTTATTATAGGTAATCATTGAATATTGAAGCTTCAGACCAAGATAAATAGTTATGAACCAAGATCTGTAAAGTGATGTACAGATGAAGATTTGAGACTTTTTAAACTTATAAATCATATTGATGAAAAGATTTAAGCACAAACTTTGGGTTAAAAATTGCCATTGGACAGTGGTCTAAAGATACATAAGAGTTGTGGTTTACAAGCAGGATTTTCAAAATTAAATCTGTCCCTGAAGGTGACCATGATAAAAGGGCAAAACTGCATCTATGTAGCTCGGCATCTCCTTGTCTTTTCAGGTTTGTCATCTGATGGAAATATTTTGATAATAAATTGAAATTGTGAACCCATTACTCACTAAGCTTATTGTGCCAGCCATCTAGCTTTGGAAAGCACATTTCTGAATAGAAATGAGAGGCTTCTACACATCCAATGGACTTGCTTCTAAAATTCTAACTCACCTAGAGTTCTGGGAGGGGGAGGCCTAGTCCCTGATAGCAACTCAGCTCTTAAGGCTTTTATGTTCTGTTTTCCTGTCCTGTTTGCAAGTTTAGTTCATTTCATTACTTGATTAATATTTTACAAAAGGAGTCCAAAATCCTTATATTTCCTAAAAAAACATGAAAATGAAGGAACATCCAAAATATGAGTGTTGGTTTTCCTGCCTCTTGAAAAATGTCCATTTACATGTTTTTTAAAAATGTTAAGCCCTGGTCTGGGAAGATCCCACATGCCACGGAGCAGCTAAGCCCGTGCGCCACAACTACTGAAGCCTGTACGCCTAGAGCCCATGCTCTGCAACAAGAGAAGCCACCGCAGTGAGAAGCCCGCGCACCGCAACAGAGAATAGCCCCAACTTGCTGCAACTGGAGAAAGCCCGTGCACAGCAACAAAGACCCAACGCAGCCAAAAACAAAATAAATAAATTTATTTTAAAAAAAAAGAATGATAGAAACTATTTGACCAATATTTTCTTGTTTTCACCACCCCATTCTTGCAAAGATACCACAGAGTTCTGATCTGATTTGTTTTAAAAAGTTAAGAAAAAAAGGTGGCCAAATGCTATAGGGAATTGCAGGCATAATCAGATGACTTAGGCGGGAGCCAAAACTGTTTTTGTGCTGTGCCTGGACTGAGGGACTTGACTTTTGGTTGATCAGGTGAAGAGAGGTGCCACATGTGACTGGTGTCCAAGTGGCACATGTTTATTGCATTCTAATTTTTTCTTTAACAGTGTTGTCTTAATTTCAACTCCTTTTTTTTTTTTTTTTTGCATTTCCTCTAAAACAGTGAGAAACTCCACTAGCGTTTTCATCCTCATAGCCAAACTGCTTCTATTTTGTTTGACAAAGCAGATCCTCTAGGTTGTGCAAGTGAAGTCTGGCAGAAGAATGAGCATTGGCTCTTGCTGGAAACAAGGTTGAGCTCTCATCCTAGGCAGTGAAGAAAGACGAAGTTCAGCCATTGTGACTGATTTTTATACTTCTGGATTTCCTTTCTAGCCAAAACTAACAATTTTTTCAGGTCTATCAGGCATATTAACATCTGATTCCACTTCTGTAAGTACACTTGCTGTCATTTCTGACTTGATCATCTCAAATTATAATGCATCCTGAAAGTTTACTCTACATCCAGAAGACAAAAATGGGGTCAAGTACCTGGATTATCGATTACCTTGGTGTTAATCCTTCAACACACATGCTATCCAAGCTCTATGTTCCCTACAGTATGTCGTCAAAGACGTAATGGCAAGATGGTCACAGCAGCTTTATCCATGATATCAAAGAAAAAAACTAAACAGCAGAAAATGTTTAGATTTGTTCAAAGAAAATATGAAAAGGCCATAGTGCAGAGTATGCATAATAATTTCAGTCTTGTTAAAATACTGTTGCATAGGAAAAGAGTTGGAAGAATATATGCGAAAAAATAATAGGGAATATCTCTGATTGGTGATATTACAGGTGATTCTTATTTCCCTTTTTTCCTGAATTTTAAATATTTCTATAATGTGAAAACAGTACATTTTAAGAACCATTTTTAAAATGTCATTTGGAAGAAAAGAGGAAGTATGGGAGAAAAGATGGAAGGGAGGGAATGATGGAAAAGTTGACCAAAAAGAGAAATAGAGGGGCTTCCCTGGTGGCACAGTGGTTGAGAGTTCGCCTGCCAATGCACTGGACACGGGTTCGTGACCCGGTCTGGGAGGATCCCACATGCCGCGGAGCGGCTGGGCCCGTGAGCCATGGCCGCTGAGCCTGTGCGTCCGGAGCCTGTGCTCCGCGATGGGAGAGGCCACAACAGTGAGAGGCCTGCATACCGCAAAAAAAAAAAAAAAAAAAAAAGAGAGAGAAATAGAATTCCCCTGGGTTTAAGCTGTGTTGATTTATTTTAGAAGCTATTCACTTTGGTATCTCAGTCTACTTAGATTCAAGGAATTCAGGGCAGAGAATTTGGGTCAGAAGCTTCCCCCACCCCACAACAGACCAGATGTCAGATTTATGGGGTGGCTTTTATAAACACAGCTTAACGTAGGGCAAAGGGATTTGGCGGACTTCCCACTGACTACTCGAAGTGGTTCTGCGAGAACAGAGCATGTACTCTAGAGGGGTCTGTTTGGGTTCTTTTACCCCTGAAAATGCTAAAGGGATGAACTGATCCGGCCACACTCTTCCATTGGTCTCCCTCCATACAAAACCCTAGCATTTGCCAAACACTGACAAAAGTTAAGGATACAGTCTATGACTGTGAAACAGAAACCAGTAAATTATACAGTGATCAGACCTAAATGCTCCACCTGGTAGGCACCATGATTTACCTGGGGGTCAGATGCTAACGTTTAGAGGTGGATCAGGGAGGAGGGAGCAGGATACAGCTAATTCTAGGTGATTCACTGCTTATATTTGACTTTGGTTACAATCAAACTCATACTAGTTTAGCCAAAACCGGAGATTGTGTTGATCCCCATAACTGAATTTGGGGCAAGTAAGAGTAACGGGGCCTTCTTTCCATGTGGTCTACTTTATGATTGCCAGTCGACTTTCTCCAAAAGGAAGCCATGCTGGTCAACCATGACAGGGTCAAAGATTCTCTGCTTCCTTCCCAGGGGAAGCACAGCCTCTAACTGCAGTACCTTTGACAAATCCTGGAGAAAAACCAATTAGCCCATTTTGGAAACATGCCTACCCATGTGAGTAGGCCATGGGGAAGTGAGAAGGTTGTAGAAATTATGATCATTGATCCCCTACAGAGTAGGAGAAGAGCAGTTTCCCCAAAGAAGAAAAACACCACTCCTAGAAGAGAAAGGAAAAGACACAGATGTCCAATACACCAAATTATACTAGATATTTCTTAAACGCTTTGCAGAACATCTCAGTTTGGATTACGTTGTGCATATTAAATTTCAAATGTGGCAATTTTAATTTTGTTTGGTCAAAATGAAGATATCATGCATTTTACTTAGATTTAATTTTTAGGAAAAAAGTTTTTAATAAAAAAGGGTGGGAAGGAAGGAAATAATACATTTTATTTATTGTGAGTAAGGCATTTGTATAAAGTTTCCATTTAATGTAACTTTCCTGTGAGTTAATGTTAGTACTCCTATTTTACAGATGGTGAATTTGAGTTTCAGAGAGGTTAACTGATTTGCCCAGATTCACAAAGATAGTAAATGACAAGGGACCAAATCAAGGTATGTTGAAGTGCAAAATCTATATAAATTTACTATCAGAGTTTTCTATGTCACTAAAAAATGCATTTTAGCCTATCAGAGTCAACTCATTTGTAGCTAATAATTCCCAAAACATATCTTTTATAAGAAACAATATATTTTCTAATTTATTACTTTACATGAGCCTTTGTTATTTTTAAAAGGATGTTTAGTGTTTTAAACAATTATAGCAGTAAACACATTGAGCATCTGCTATGTTCAAGGTACTATATTAGAAGGAAAAATAAAAATAGCTAGAAAAGAAAAACAAGATAAACTGATATTTTTGGTTGGCACTACAACTGTCCACTATACCCATTCACTTACTCATTGACCAAATGTTCAGCACCTTTTATGTGTGATGCACTATATCACATATAAAAGAGTCCTTAGAAGATTATCTTCTACTGGGGTCATTAGAAGATAAAAATAAATGAAAACAGATGGACTTTTAATTTAATAGAGACATTAAAATGTACACAAACACATTATGCAGCTGAATGTGTGATGTGTCAAGAGATACAGAGAAAACACAATTTGAGAATTCAGGAGAATTTCCTAGTATGGCAAAGACATCCAATGGAAGTAACACGTTGCATTTGACAGTATGGATGGGGTTTTGAAAATTGAAGGAGATAAGGAAATATTGCTGTGTACGCCTCATATACAAAATTAGGCAACTAAAGAGCAAGAACCAAATTAGTCTAGGTAGAAATGCTAATTCTGGAAGGAGACAGCCAAGGGGAGTGTGCACTCTGAGATTGACACAGTTGTTCATTATTCACAGTTGGCTCTTGACATGTCTTATACCAAGAAAAGCTTTTTAAATTTTTTCAGGTATCTTATGCTGTTCTCAAAGTTTATGCATTATCATTTTACTTTGAAAGAAGTTCTGTGCATTTCTTGCATTTGCTAGAAGTTGGGTGATAGGATAACGTTTGTTTCTATTCTTGGGAATTTAGAATACTACTCTTATTCCAGTCCTATTGCTAAGTTACTGCATTGAGCAAATAACTAATTTCTCTGCATTTTCATTGTCTCAGAATTAAAATCAGAGTAAAGATCAAGCCCTTTTCCAAACCAGAAAGCAGGCAGGTGAAATGTTTTGCAAATCGAACCTTTTGGAGATGGCGAAAGATATCAGAGTGCAGAACTAGGGCACAGTGTCTTGGAAAAACTTGAATCCAGAGTGATCCATACAGACCCAGGGACACGCAGGGTCAAAGCAAAGACCAGCCAAATGGCTACATGGCAAGCATTTGACTCCTCTAAGCTTCAGTTTCCTCCTCTTCAGAATGGTCATAATCACTGTACCTCTCTGGAAAGGGTATTGTACCAGTTGCCAGCAAACTGTATTTTCAACCACATTGAAGTTTAATATCTTGATTAAGCCTGTAGGTCTTTAAAAACATGAGGACTTTTGGCTTAAAGACTAGAATTTTTTTTTTTCTTTTTGCCATATTGTCTGTTCTGTTGCTCTAGGTGAGTCGCTTACTCAATCCCTGTTGAATCATTTTGCTCACTAGACACTCTTGAAACAGAAAAGGCACAAAACGTGCAATCCTTTAAATAGCAGAGGATTTCTTCAAAAGTACAAAAAGCAAAAGCAGCACACTCAAAACAAAATTGAAGTTTTCAGCGAGATGACAATTTGGGGGAAAACAGTTTATGCAAGTTCCTTTACTTTGCTCAGAAAATGGCATTGGCCCAGAGGTCCTGGGAAAGCTATTTAACCCCTTTGAAACTTAGTTTGCTCAGAAGTTAAGTGTAAAAATGTAAATGTATTTTTGTCATGTGATTATGTAGTAGGTAGAATAATGCCCCCCTCCCCACTCAAAGATATCCATATCCTGATTCCCAGACCTGTGAATATGTTAGGGCACGAGGTAAAGGGGAATTAAAGCTTGCAGATGCAGTTAAGGTTGCTGATCAGCTGACCTTAAGGTGAGATTATCCCAGCTTATCCAGGTGGGTCCAGTGTAA